CCACGAGGCGGCGGCGGCGGTGCCGGGCTCCCCCTCGCCTACCGCCGCGGCTGCTCCAGGGGGGTCCGGTTCGGCAGCCGCCCGGAGGGGAAGGAACCCGGTGTCCACCCCGCTTTGTACGCGCCGATCCCCGGGCCCGCCGAGGCTCACGGCGCCGCCGCTTCCTGCAGGGCGATCCCCGGGCCTCCCCCTGCTTGCGAGCGCGTGGAAAATCCGCCTCGATCTGCCCAGGCAGCCCCAAAATCTCCCCGCTTGACCACACCAAAAAAAAAACCCCCCCCGAGCCCCGCTGCCTTCTCTCCCCCCGACCGCCTTCTCCTTACCGAGCCCGCCGGGCACCAGCCGCGTCTGCAACCGGGGGGCAAAGCAGCAGCTGCTGCAGCCAACCGCCGCCGGAGCCTGTGGAGGAAACAAAGCGCCTCCTCCAGCCCCAGATGGCGAACCAGAGCGTCGGCTAATGGCGAGCTCCACATGCGCTCCTGCTGCAGCAAAGCAGCCCGGTGCAGCCAGCGTTGCCTCGGATCGTGCCTTCTCCCCCCTCCCCCTGATCCGTCTCTCCCACCCACCCTCCCTTGCAACAGGGGGCTGCATCGGGCGCGTTGACGGCTGGAGGTCGTGGGTTGCTTTTTTTCCCCCCCTCCAAAATGCACCTACCTGCAAATCAGCCAGGCTGAAGAAGGAACTTGGGGGCTGCTTTTTTTGGGTGCTTTTTAGCTGGGGAGCGCTGGTTGAATGCTGGCCAGCTCTGCAGCGCTGGCCCCGGGCGTGGACTCGCTCCAGTCCCCGCAGAGAGATTGCACTTCCCCCGCCTCCATCTCTCTGCTTTTTTCTTCCAATCAGCCGGGCTCTTTTCGCTCCTGGATCCTTAGCCAACCTCACAGCCCTTCACAAGTCTCCACTTTTCCATCTGCTCCCTGAACGGAATTGTCAGAGACACCGTTCTCCTCTCCTCTTTTAACTCTCTCTGCTGGCTCTTACGGGGCTGTGTGTCTGTCTGTCTCCCCTCTCTCTGTGTGTGTGCGTGTTTATTGCTCTTTGCTTTTGCAACACTGTAGCCAAAAGAAGAGAGGAGGAGGAGGAGGAGGGAAAAGGAGAGACAGGGAACGAGAAGGGAGGAAAAAAACAGCTTACATTTGCAACAATCCTCTTCTGACGTTTGCAACAACAGCACCAAAAATTCAAATGGTCGATTTCCTACAACCCATCTCGAATAGCACGGGAAAAAAAGAGTTGTTGTTTTTTTTTTAAGTTCCACCTATGCACAAAAATAAAATTCAGATTTTCTTTGTAAAGTTCCGAGGGCTGGGACAGACCTTTGCACCCACGCAAAAGAAGGAACCTGAACTAAACTGCAAGTGGCTGCGTTGTAAACAGGCTCACGGGGAAGAAGGAGACGGGAAAAAAAAATGGGGAGTTTTGTTGTGTGTCGCTTGCACCAGGAAATGCACAAACAGGTCTAGAGTGAAATTCACACTTTCCTCCCGGACTGGGTGAACCGCCGGATTCGTTAACGATACCGTGAAATTGACACTCTTGTATATTTCAGAGCCGGAGGGGGGCGGGTGAAGGGAGAGTTTTTCATTCCCCCCCCCCACAATTTTTTTTAATCTAATTTTTCCAACTCCACCTTTGTTGTTATGGGCGTCATCTGCTGCTAGCCAATCCCCTGTCTGGGATCTGCCTGTCAAATTAATGGCAATCCCAATAAGCAAGCGGCTCCTACAGACCAAAAAAAAAAAAAAAAAATGCAATTAAGTGTTATGAGCTCTCTTAGGGAAAAAAGGGTGGGTGGACCTGCTCTAAGGCCCATAAACATGAAACAAGGAGGAGGGTGCTACATGGTTTTGCTTTGGCTACCAATGCAGGGATTCCCATAACAGGATTTGCAATTGCTTTTCTGCCCTGTTGCATTAGATACTTTATATAGTATGGGGAAATGTAAAGGGGATGTCAGACAGCACTGCTCAGTTTTGTTATCACAGATTAATGTAGATTAGTTTTAACATGATGGTGGTGGGGTGGTAGCTAGGGAAGAGTTAAAGTACATTGATGTAAGCCAGAGAGAAGTAGGTGAGGTAATATCTTTTATTAGATCAACTTCTGTTGGTGGAAGATACAAGCTTTTGAGCTACACAGAACTCTTCAGGTCTGGGAAAGGAACCAAAATATAAATAGTATATTTAGGCCTTGTCTACACTAAGGAATTTAGAATAAAAATCTTACCCTTGTTAACACCACACTGGTGGGAGAAAAAAACAAAATTTTACAATTCCTTGGTGTAAAATACTGCCATCGGTTTTCAGCATTGTTCACTTCCTGCTCTAAAACTGTTGTGTCCTGTCACTGAGGTGTGTTAAACAGCTGCTGTGTTTCACCCAGAGGCTAGCTGCCTTTCAAAGTGATCATTTTGGGTGAAACCTTAAAAACTTAGGTCTTGTCTGTTCTGCATAGGGCGGGCCAAAATTTTAAATGAGATGAAGGCCTATCCCCTTTCTTGGTGGATGCAACTTGTGTATACACACATATGAACCTGCTTGTGTGTCTGTGTGTGTGCACCTATAGATGAAGAATGGCAGACGCACATTTTAATTGATACTAGAGCTGGACTGGAGATGGTCTTCCCGTTCATAAGTGGTTTAGAAGCTTTAAAAAAAATTCCATTCACAAATTGGGAAGAAAGGTCAATCTCAATTTTCATAAACCAATCATCTAAAAAAAATGGATCAGATCAATTGAAACATGTTTCACTTTAAACCTTTTTTAGTCGTTTAAAACTTATAACTACCATTTCTAACTGAAAAATCATTTTGAAACAAAATGGAACCGTTACATTTAGAAATTGTCAAAACAGAACATGTTGTCAATGTCTAAACTTTATTCAAAAATGTTTGGAATTGTGAAATTCATCAAAATCAACCCTGTCCCACAAACAGCTTCAGTTCCCACAAACTGAAAATTTCTGACATCTGACACCACAGTTCATTGTAGGCATGAAAATGTGAGTGCATGATATGTACTAGCAAAGAGATGCCAGACCACTGAAAATTTGGCCCTAAAAATGCTGTGGAACTTTAGTTAAAACAGAGGATTCCCCACAATATCCTTTGGTCAAAATTTCCCCTTCTTCCACAGTTTTGCTGCATGTTGCAATGAAGTTGGCTGGTGGCTGCATTTTAGTAGTGCTCTCTCTACCTATATAGAGATAGATATGCAAAGAAAGTTGCTACATGAATGTAAGATTCATTTTATTTCTTGAGTATTTTAAAAAACTACCAGTTTTAAAGGCATTTTCACACTCATTTCAGCCATTATGCTGGCAGGTGATAAATGGTTGTGAATACTGATGTAGAGCCTGATTAAAAGTATGGCAAAACCAGCACCATTTTCCATCATAGACTACTAGGCCTGTAGCTAAATCAGCCAGATCCAGGGCCTCCATCCTGTACAGAACTTCAAGCATCATAGGACTCCACCATGCAGCTCACTACAGGATCAGGGCCAAGACTTTTTACTTTTGGTGTCCATAACTCCACTGCCACAGAATGGGTCGTGGTGGGTGAATCCAGCTCAGAACCAAGAAACTCCATAGTGCTATTATCTTCGTTGTTGCCTGTGGACAGCAGAGAACTAAACTACCCAAACTTAAGTCTTTGTGTAGTGGGCAAGTGGTTCTTACTACAGGGAGAAAAGGACCTCAGAGTATTGATTGGGGAATTACTTAATATTTGTACAGTGCTTTGAGAATGCAAAGTCCTCCGGGGAAACAAAGACCTGAAATTGCATGAGCAGATACTGTGTATTGTGGTAGCACCTAGGAGCACAGGTCCCCATCGTGCTAGGCACTGTACAAACATAGAACAAAAAGATGCTCCCTGCACCAACAGAAAATCATGCGAAACTTCAAATACTCATGTGTTTGCTTAAAATCTGTAACATGTTAAGGAAGTTTCGGAAGCTTGTCACCACAGGTCTCTTTTGAGGATATAGGCCTAGTGTTCCTAGACCATTTGATTAGTGTGGGTATTAGTGTAACTGCTCTCTGTGAAACGTTACTGCTTTTCTTAATTAAATGTGAGGGTAGCATGGCCTAGTGGATAATGCAGTGAAATAGGAGGCAGGCTACCTGGCTTCTATTTAAAACTGCCACTTTCCCTACTATGCAGCCTTGGGCACGTTTCGTCCTCGTGCCTCTCTTTCCCCTTCCACTCTTAGCCTGTCTTGTCTATTGAGACTGTGAGCTCTTCAGAGCAGGTCTTGTCTCTGAGTATGTGTTTATTTGGTGCACAGCACAACGGGCCCCAGTCTTCATGGGAGCCTCTAGGTGCAACTGAAATATAAATATTTATAACAATAACTTTTGTAACCAGCATTATGTTGTAGGCTGGTAAGGACTAGCCCTTGCTACTACCGATAAAGCATCCATTTGTACACACGCAATATTAGAACATAAGAACGGCCACACTGGGTTAGACCAACGATCCCTCTAGCCCAGTATCTTGTCTTCTGACAGTGAGCAATGCCAGGTGCTTAAGAGGGAAAGAACAGAACAGGCAAACATTGAGTGATCCAACCCCTGTTGTCCACTCCCAGCTTCTGGCAATCAGAGGTTAGGGACACTCAGAGCAGGGGGTTGCATCCCAGCCCATCCTGGCTAATAGCCATAGACGGACCTATCCTCCATGAACTTATCTAGTTCTTTTTTGAACCCTGTTACTGTTTTGCCCTTCACAACATCCCCAGGCAATGAGTTCCACAGGTTGACTTTGTGTTGTGTGAAGAAATACTTCCTTCTGCTTGTTTTAAACCTTCTGCCTATTAATTTTATGGGGTGACACCTAGTTCTTGTGCTATGTGAAGGAGTAAATAACACTTCCCTGTTCACTTTCTCCACACCAGTCAATATTGTATAGACCTCTATCATATCCCTCCTTAGCCATCTCTTTTCCAAGCTGAAAAGTCCCAGTCTTTTTAATCTCTCCTCATATGGAAGCCATTTCATACCCCAATCATTTTTGTTACCCTTCTCTGCACCTTTTCCAATTCTAATCTGTCCAATTCTTTGGGTTCCTACATGACTCATATATTATATCACCCATATATTGTACTGTTCCCACACAATTATAAACAAAGGACTGATCCTGCAATCAGATCCATGCTATCGGACCCCAGCACCCATGTGGCGTTTTATTGACTTCTTGGGGGCTGCCTGGAGGCCCAAGGCTCTGCCCATTTGGCTCCATTTATAAGATCAGGGCCAAAATTTGGCCAGAACTACCATCCAAGGGCACCAGTTCTGCAAACATGTATGTACATGGCTAACTTTATTTATGCGAGCTGTTCCACAGGGTTCACTGGCACTGTTCATGTGTGTAAATTTACTCCTACACGTATGTGTTTGCATGATGGAGGCCTATGGGTTCACACGACTCACCTAAAGCCATCCTATTTCAGTCTTTGTGGAAACAGCTCATTATACATAACATCGAGGCCAACTTCAACATTGCTTTATGGCACCCCGCAACTACTTGGATTTCAGCTCTGTGTTTCATTGAACATTAGAACTGCCACACTGGATCAAACCAAAGGTCCATCTAGCCCAGTATCCTGTCTTCCAACAGTGGCCAATGCCAGGTGCCCCAGAGGGAACGAACAGAGGTCATGTCAGTGAGTACAAAATTGATACTGTATTTGTTTGATATATTCATTTTATGCAGTTTTGGGGCTGATTTCCCCTTGCCCTTTAAATTCCGCTGAGAGCATAACAAATCTGGGCCCTACGTAGTTGCTACATTTGCATTGTTTGCTTTCCGTTTGGTTCGATGCCACAATACTGCTAGAGCAGAGAGATGCCTACATTTTGCCCAGCTGTGGGCACATCAGTCGCTCCTCAAATCCAAAGCTGCTTTGCATAAACCAGAGCAGGCTGCAGCCACCCTGCTATTTAATATGAGAGCGCTTGGCGCAAGATGGAGCAGTACATGCTTGGAATGGTCGTCTACAATCACAGCAGGAAAGGTCACCCAGCGGTTTATCCTGTGACATTACATGGCAATGACATTATCACTTCTCTTTATACCAGAGGGAACCGCCTGAAGCTGAACGGATTACTGGATGGCGG